TGAAGAAATGGAATTCCAGCAATTTGGAATCAGGATCCAAACCCACTTTATCCATGAGGGATAAAAATAAAAAAAACCCAAAATCTCCCATCCCAAATCCCTCCCTTTTCTCTGCCTGAAATTCCTTTTTTCCTTTTATTTAAATCTTGATTTTCATTATTTTTTCAGCTCCTTCCCCTCCCCTGCTCCTCCAAACTGTGCCCAGGGATTTTGGGATTAGGGAAAAATCCCTTTGGGATGAGCAGCACAAACCCTGGGGGATTATGGGATTCTGGCAGGGATGGGAATTCCCAAAAAAATCTGGAATTGTCCAACCTGGAAAAGGGAAAAGGATCCAGGGAATGCTCAGAGACCATAAAGGGGATCCAGGAGAGGGATTTGGGATATTGGGATATTGGGGATTGGGATATTGAGACATTGGGACATTGGGATATTGGGATATTGGGATATTGGGATATTGGGGTATTGGGGATTGGGATATTGGGATATTGGATATTGGGATATTGGATATTGGGATATTGGGATATTGGATATTGGGATATTGGATATTGGGACATTGGGACATTGGGATATTGGATATTGGATATTGGGACATTGGGATATTGGATATTGGGACATTGGGATATTGGATATTGGGACATTGGGACATTGGGATATTGGGATATTGGGACATTGGGACATTGGGATATTGGATATTGGATATTGGGACATTGGGATATTGGACATTGGGATATTGGGACATTGGGATATTGGATATTGGGGATTGGGATATTGGGACATTGGGACATTGGGATATTGGGATATTGGGATATTGGGATATTGGATATTGGGATTTTGGGACATTGGGATTTTGGGACATTGGGATATTGGATATTGGGATATTGGGATTTTGGGATATTGGGACATTGGGACATTGGGATATTGGATTTTGGGATTTTGGGACATTGGGACATTGGGATATTGGATTTTGGGATTTTGGGATTTTGGGATTTTGGGATGAGCTGGATCCAGGCTGGGAGAGCTGGGAATGTTCCCCTGGAGAAGGAAAAGGATCCAGGGAATGCTCAGAGCCCCTAAAGGGGATCCAGGAGAGGGGTTTGGGGTTTGGGATTTGGGATTTGGGGTTTGGGATTTGGGGTTTGGGATTTGGGATAGGAACAGCACACAGGGAATGGCTCAGAGTGGGAAATTGGAGATTTCGATGATTTTGGGCTGGAATTCCTGGCTGGGCTGGAATTCCCTGCAAGGTCCCAAGGGTGGCACTGGCTGAGCTTTGATTCTCCACCCAAAATTATCAATCAATCAATCAATCAATCAATTAATCAATTAATCAATCAATCAATCCTTCCATTTCCACCTCCTCCCTGCTCAAATCATTCTTCCCACCCATCCCTCTCTTTCTTGTTATCCCACAAAGATCATTATTCCATGGATGAGGAATTTGAATCGTGCTTAATTGTTTTTAATCGTGCTTAATTGTTTTTAATCGTGGATAATTGTTTTTAATCGTGGATAATTGTTTTTAATTATTTTTAATCGTGGTTAATTATCATTCCCTGTCTCAGGTCAT